GCGTGCGCCGCTGCTGAGCGGGGACGTGCGCGCCCTGCCCGAGGGGTGCCCCCGAGGGGTGCCCCCGTGGGCGCGCCGCTGCCAGCCTGGGGCCGGGCCCGTTGCACCGAGGGAGCCGCTCGCCTTTGGGCTGGGGCAGCGCCTCGGGCCTGGACAGCTGGTGACCCTTGGGAGGTTCTCGGGGGCAGGCGGGCCGCGCCGTGTTTTCTCAGTGCGGTCTTGGCTCGGTTCCTAGACCTCCGCTTTTCCGTTCTTTACCTGCCTCGGGATCAAAACGATGTGTTTTGCCTTCGTTGAGATCTGCCGCGGAATATGCAATGCTGGCTGGCTTGTGAAGGCCTGCAGTTCACCTGAGTCGCTGAATGAGCTTCTGTGGTCCAGTGATCTTGTCTGAATACTTGCTTAATGCAACTCAGGCTAAGGATCAGCAATTTCTGAATCGAGGTACTAGCCTCCTGAACAAGAGCTGAACTTGATTAAAGTCGCAGTGATGGAGATAACTTATTCTCAGATAAACTCTTTCAGTGGTTAATTAGTTTTTGCTTCCCCCACAGCATCATTTACTGTGAGCGCTAAGGTTGAATAATTGTTGTTAGGTTGGCGGGTTGGAGAGCCATCCCTGTTGAATCTGAAGAGATTGTGGTTTCTAAAATAAAAAGTAAAAATAAAAAAAAAAATCTGTTTTACAAGCTAGTTTAACCATACTTCAGCTGATACAGCCACTGTATTTGAATGGTGAATGGCAAAATCGGGTGCCAAATGAGACAAAAAAATCCTACTGGTGTGTTATAGATAAGTGATATTACCCTTCAGTCTTCCATTTTGCATCCACAGGTTGTGTACTTTGTCATGCTGTTCTGGGAGCATGTTTAGCTCATCTCTTACCGAAACAACAGAAGGAGTTTATTTGTTAGGTTTCAAAACTCTTGCTTCTCAAACTGCAGGATGATGCTGTTGCATACTGCTATATATGTCCCAAGTTAAGCATACTGTTAAGATCTGTGACCTTGCATTTACACAGAGCCCAGTATAATGCGTGACTTTCTCCATGTTTCAGCTTTTGCTAAAATTGTTTCCAGTGGCATTCATTGCATGAGACCACTGAAACAAATATTCAGCTAACACATAGTAGAGGTTGTCAAGATGATCAATATATGTAGAGGTCCAGTCGCCCGGATTAGTTTGGTACAGATAAAGCATTAGAGGTACTTGATTAATGGAGTTTGATGGGAGACAGTTCTGTTACTTAAAAACCAAACAAAACCCCAAACGCTGTCCCACAAAAAATGTAGAGCTCTTTAGGTCTTTGTGCTGTTACTGAATGGTAGTCTCATTTTAGAACACTGTGGTAGATAGTACAGATAAAAATGAAGAAGGTCTGTCTTGGGTTGCCATCAGTTTGGGACATTTCTGATTGTCATGACTGTACACCAGGAGATACAGTGGAAAACATGAAATTGCTAGTCTGTCATGCAGCAACTTCAATGGAGTATGAATTTGTGATGTCATTGTGCAATCAAACCACTCTGGTTAGGATGTAATTTTACATCTTGGTTTCTCCTTCTGATGGGGGATGTTTGTGAATGTTGCACAGAATTTGAGTGATAAAACTTAAAAATAACTTAAGGTCTGCCCCTAGGTGAAATTTAAGGAGCTCAACTTAATTTTGTATTAATGACTTGACTGGTATTTTGTCATAAGCTTATTAAGCTACAGCAGAACGTGCCTAGAGAGAAGCTGAATTTAACTGGGCTTAAATATCATCTTGGGAAGTAGCTGCGATGAGGGTAGCTGAAATGTTTTAAGGGCAGGGATGGATTTGCCATCCTGTGTGTACATCTGTGGCATGGTCCTGAAAGGTGCTCTGTTTTGCTGTGGAAGTTACCGAGGCTGTTGGGACACAACAAACTGTGAACCAAATCAGTAGCTTTCCTGTGCTTTGAGCTGTCTGGATGCTATGTTTTACTACATGTAAACTTGTGCTGCCATGTGCAGCTTTCCAGTAGCTCTTCCTGGATGGGATGCTGGATGGCATGATTTCCTGAAGATCCCTATTTTTGAGCAGGGGAGTAAGACTGGTGTCCAGGATAACACAACAAAGAAACTCATGAAGCCTAAATAGCGGGTTGACTCTGCAACTTTATACTGTACAAGCGTGAATGCTTTCCATATTCACCCTAGGAAAAACATGTCTGTTGGGGAGCTCAATATGTACCCAAACAGCCAACTAGAATGAACAGTGTGCTTGTGTTTGACGTTGCGCTATCGTAAATATGAAGAACAGTTATCAGTGAAGCAGAGGTTGTAGGACATCAAAGCATCCCATCTGCCAATACCCAGCAGCTGTTGGCTTTCTGAAATTATTAAAGGTGACACAGTTGAGGACTGTCAAATGCAATCAGGTATGTTTAAGAAGAGGTGGAAGTTTTTTTCTTAAACAGAGACTTAAAGCTGTAATAACAGGTCAGGCAACTTGGACATGTTTAAATTGGTTCTGAGCAAAAAATTGATGCTTCAGAAGAAATGCAGCTAAGCAGGTATTCCAGCATTGCAGGACATGAGAATCTATGCAGTGTTGAGGACCTAGGCTGGTCTGTAGATTACGCGGTAGGTGGATGTGTGTGGCCTCTGCTATTCTCACCCCTTGCCAATTAGATGTGTTATTGTAGTCAAAGGAAGGAGGATAGGATAAAGTGTAAGTGGATGTGTGTTAACCAGACTTAAAACGTTTGAATACTGTCTTTGGGTAATTAGACTTTAAGGTAGTAATTGCTTATAAAATTGCTACTTGACTGCTTGTTAAGTGTGTAGATTATAGATTTCTGACAAGTTAAAAATTGTCTAATTTTATCTTGTATATAGACTGCCAGGAAAAGTCTGTAGTAGACTACTAAAACTTCTACTTATATTGCTTTCAAAATAGTAGAAGGGCTTTTAAGAGCCTCTGTAATACAGTTATTGCATTTTGCTTATTTGTCAGTATGCTAATGCTAATAGCATAATAATGTTCAAAACTACATATCTTTGAAGTTCAAGCTATTAATAAAGTCTCTTGCCTTGAATCTGTCTTATACACTGAAACCATCATATCTCATTTATTTGGGGAGAAGTTTCTGATAAATGGCTACTCAACAAATTGCTGATATTAGCTGTAAGACTTTGATCTCAACGCTAGGATTGCACTCAAGCAAGGGTGCAGTGTTTTCTAAAAAGTTTATTTAATCTTAGGAAATATTCTACCATTTTTTATGGTTTACACAGACCAGAGTTTGATTTAAGTGTCTGTCCAAATAATTGAGTACTAAATTTGGCTTTTTGCTTTTTAAAGTTTTAATGGATGTATTTTTAGAAAAGTGCAGAGACTTGTATGTTTGATCTTTGATCTCTAGGATTGCACTCAAGCAAGGGTGCAGTGTTTTCTAGTAAGTTTATTTAATCTTAGGAAAGGAAATACCATGTTTTATGGTTTACACAGACCAGAGTTTGATTTAAGTGTCTGTCCAAATAATTGAGTACTAAATTTGGCTTTTTAAATAGATTGGTTTTAATGGATGTATTTTTAGAAAAGTGCAGAGACTTGTATGTTTGATCTTCTATTTCTGTAGTCACTATAATGATAGCATTACTGCTGGGTTTACTAAACAGATGACTTTGATAGTCATCAGTTGAGTAGCTCTAGGGATTACAGCTTGACAGCCTTTGAATGTAATTTAATGCTTCTAATGACATATATAATTTTTGTTATATTATCAAATCCTTCATTAATCTGTTAGAGAAGCACTTTAGACTGGTTAGTTACTAGTCATTCATTGCTTCTGCTAATGATCTTTGTGCTGTGTTTAAGGACGATTTCTGTAAACTTCCAGTCTTCC